AGTTTAACATGTCTGAACTAAAAGTAGTCAAACACTTAGAGCGAATAAACTTGAACTTGAAAGAAAAAGACTGTTAGATACCGGGAAATGTTTAATTCATTATTAATCTATTTAATTAGTGAGGTTCCGGAAACTCACACCGGTAGTTTTTCTTCAACACATATTAATTTACAGGAAAGATATCATAGTAACAGATAATAAAGATCAGCGAAGGAAAAAGTAAAATGAAATGTGTAAAGAGCGGATGAAAATGGAGGAGATATGCGAAAAAGAAAATATAAATAAATAGAAGATTAGATAGTATGAAACATAATTCTGCCGTTGTGAAGTAAGCTATTCACAACCTACACGGTATATTGATAGCAAGGATTGAAAATCTTCGACTGTGACAGTGTCATGTCCGGTTTCATGATAAACGAATCCGCGTTCATTAAAGCATTGATGCAGCCTGTGTAAATGTATCATTATGTTCAGAGATATTTCGCCAACTGGAATCTCATCCTCAATGATTTGCCTTCTAATATCTAATCTCCTTTTTATTAGTTTTTCTTCTCTTTTTACTCGTATCTCTTTTTTCATCCATTTCATCGTTCATGCTTAAAATTTTCTTTCATCTATTTGCCTCGCATATGTCATATTTCTTCGCTAATAATGCTATAATCATTTACCTTGTGACTTTTGTTATTCACGACTACGATATTTCCTCTGTACCTTATTAACTTGCACTGAAGAAGGAACACCATTCTAAAAACTTCACTCAATGAACACATACTTTTCCGGGTATCTAACCGTCCCCTTCTCCATTTGTTATCATTATTAGTCGGTATATGTATATTCGAAATGAAGGTTAATTTGTTACATCAGCCACTGTAATAATGAAAACAATTATTCAGCGGAAAGTTATGAAAAATGTCAAATGTTAAAATAAAACGATTATTAAACACATTCACCTGCTGATGGTTGCCATCTTTGCTGTCGAACAAATCCACCTTGAACGCCACTTCCACATCGGCAGCAGTGATTTCCTCTTGATGAACTAAAAG